AGAAGAAGAAGAAGAAGAAGAAGAAGAAGAAGAAGAAGAAGAAGAAGCTACAGCTCTTGTCTCTTTCTTCCTTCTCCAATGCTTGGTTTCCAGACTTTTAAAAAAATCAATTCCTATACTAATTAGAAATTCTAGCAGCTGTAGTATCAAAATATTGTGCTACAGCCTGGAGAAAGCTGGTATTCAATTATTAACCCTCAGAAAGGACATGATCATAAAAGCAATTCTTTCTGATAAAGTCTACAATTTCTTCTAAAAGCCGCCTTTATATTTAACATCCGTGCAGTAATATTTCCTGTGTATAATTTACCTAACCTGAATAAGTTCCCCTCTTTTTTTTAATCCAGGTACCACACTCCTGAGGACTGAAAGAATGAAATACTCAAGAAAGGAGGACAAGAATAGCGGGAGAGAAAGATTTTCAGTCTGTTTTCAACTGTTTCCTGTTGTAGTTTAACTTGTTTCCTCCTCCCATCCCTAATAGTGAGAAACCATTTTTTTCTCCCTAGGAACCTTGAAGAACCTATAGATTTGTTTCCACCCAGAACTAATTTTGTGCTGAATCACAGAGTAGCATTCAATATAACTGACACTTAAAAGCACCAGGCAGCATATGCCTATGTATGGTGTCACCAAGGGAGCAGTGAATGATACACACTACATTGATGCATCGTTCAGTGGCTCCAAGGGCCACAGCCAAATTTCTTTGTATTATTATTATTACTATTTCATTAAGCAAGCAAGGTGATTTCTGATTAAATTACTGTATATATTTTTGTGAAGGTTTATGCTTATGTGAGATCTTACCCTTATTTATTTCTTACTTTTGAATCAACTCCTGGAGATAAAGATTCCAGGGTTTATGGCATTTTGTAAATCCTTTTTACTTTCAGATTGAGAAGATATTACAAGGATGCAGTCACCCAGAAAGAAGTCATAAAAAGAACAATGTGACCCCTACATTACCAGCCAGCTGCAAAAACACAGAACTCCTTTCCTCTGCTGTTCTATTTAAATTGCTCTCCTTTCTGTTACCCTTGGCATATATTAATATGAGCAAAGGAATTTCTGCAATCAGCTTCTGGTTGTTCTGAATATTTATAGTCTGCAGCATTTGCCCAGCGCCCATAATCAATTGCCCATATATTACTTTTCATTCTTAGTTGAAAATTAAGAGTCACAGAAAGAAATGTATTGTTTGACACTATTGGCTTAAAAGCGAAAGTCCTAGCTTGACTTAAACAGTTAAGGATGAGTTAAGACTTTTTCCCTCATGGCTTAGGAATGTTTTGAAGACAATGTCATGGAAAGATAGCCAACTCCCCTCTCCCCATTTTGGCAGACATATTGGTTATCCAGTGAGGTGTATATGAGGAAAGGCCTTCAATATATGTTTTAAGGAACAGATGTGAAACTTTGACTGGAATCTATAAAGATTGTTAAGATATTGTTTCATTTACAATTACCTCCCCCCTCCTCCCACCCCATTACTGTTGAGGACTAATGAAAGACTAACAAATTATTGTCTATGTTTTAATGTCATGTTTTAGTTCACAGCTAATTTTTAAAAATATTATCATTAGATAGCATTTTATCAAGTTTAACATTTCCTCAAATATTGAAAGTATGAAACATTCTCACAAGTCCTATCAATTGAAAATGTACATAACTACCCAGAGTTACTACATGGGAGTTGGGTGACTATATGTTCCTCTTTGATTATTAAGCTGATTAGATTGGCTCATATTCAGTTTATATATGAGCCCAGTAAAAGATTTAATCCATCTAGCAAGCAAGATTGCCCTAAGTGAGAGAATTCCATCCTTTAAAATAGTATTTCTCACAGTCGGCAACTTTAAGACACCTGGATTTCAATTCCCTGATCGAGAAATTCTGGGAGATGAAGTCCACGTCTTAAAGTTGCCCACTTTGAGAAATGCTGTTTTAAAATCTTGATAGAAATGTTCCTCTACCTTACTGCAAGCTATAAGCCTAAGGGGGTTACAGGTGTTATACAAACCTGGCCTCTCATTCATTAAAAAAAATGGTGTGAGACAGTGGTGGGATTCAAAAAACTTTGCTACCGGTTCTGTGGGTGTGACTTGATGGGTGTGGCAGGGGAAGGATACTGTAAAATCTCCAGTCAGAAGTGGTATTTGCTAATTCTCCAAACTACTCAAAATTTCTGCTACCGGTTCTCCAGAACTGGTCAGAACCTGCTGAGTACCACCTCTGATGGGAGAGCAACTGGTATAGTTATTTGCAATCTGAATCATTAGAGGCAAACATAAATCAAGGCATTTTATACAATGTTCCATCCCAAAACCACATAATTCAGTGTGCTTATTTCACATCGAAATCTAATTCTTCATTGGAACATCAAAAGCTCTTACTGTATTTCCTCATTAAAACAGCCAAATAAGCTGATCTTTAAGGAAGTACTGTAGACACATACCAAAACATGGAAAATTCCTTCAGGGGAATTCCACTATTAGAATTCCACTACCCCTAAGAGGCTTCAAAACAGATTAATAAAACAATGAATTACTTATTAAAAAACCTCAAATGTCTGAGGTCATTGAGCAAGTTGAACCCACATCACAAGAAAAATAATGGGGCAATCAGTAACTCCTAGAGATTACCTTTTCCCCACCATCACAGCTTCTGCAGAGTTTCCAAACTATTGGGAACACTCTTGGAAGTGATCCTAAATAAATATGTCTATTTGGATAAACAAGAATTCTACACTCTAGCAGAGCCCCAGTTAGATGACTCCAGCAAATGCTGAGGTGTAGAATTTAGTTTACTGGAGATTCAACATAAGTTTTTTTGCTTCAGAATATTATCCCAAACCATGGGTTCTTTCTTAAGTGGACAGTAAGCAATATATTTTAATTTTGCTTCTAGGTCAGATATATTTGATATATTGCATATGAAATACCTTTAGCTTGGCTTATTTTAAATAAAGGATTATGCTGTATCTAAATGGATATAACCTAAAAACATGAGTCTCGGCTTAGTCATTTCTAGATGTTGGTCAAAATGTAAGCCACCTATCCTATTAGTTGGTGAGCCTAAAGGATGACTTATGTTGTTCCCAACATAATTGTTGGTGATCATTTTGTTTATGATTTTATCATTTTGAGTAGTTCACAGGCCTCTTCTTTGATAAACTATGGATCAGCTGTCCCATCTAAATTTAAAAAGGATTCTCCACTACTAGTTTTAAGCAGTAATCTTGCTTTGGGGAATCTGGACAACTAAAATTGTCGTGATTCTTTTTTTTTTTTTAATAAAATTTTATTGAGTTTTAACAAAACAAATAAAACATCTTATTTGAGTACAGCATGGTTCCAGGTTATCACATTTCCATACAGACACAATTTCATATGCATATTCATCTTATGTATTCAACTTCATATCTTATTACTTTTTTTCAACTTCTCACTATTTCTCCCTTCTCTTAATTTTCTTTTATGGTTATTTCATTTTCTTCTTATTCAATTGTATTTCTTTTACCTAAATTTCTATATCTTTTTATTCATTGTACTTATACTTTCGTCTGTCTTGTTTACAATTTCATATGTTCTCTTCCAACATTCTTAAGAAGCAAAATTCCCCCTATAATTGCCAATCGAAGTGCAACACCTTTAAATCTTATTGTTATTGTCATATGAAATCTCATTAAACATTGAATTTGTGCATTCTAAGATTATAATATTCAAATTTCTAATATCTGTTTTATATCATGTAGATCTCATCATTGATTGGTGCAGCCTATCTTAAGTACATTTTGCTAAGTTATTGTTATTCTGAAGAAAGGGATCTACTTTTCAATTACCACTTTCAGAATTTGTGAGAGATATTCATGCAACTTTTGCAAGGCTGTCTTGCCAATCATAAGAAGCATTGATACAGAAATTGTGACAGCCTTGAGAAACAAGCTGATCCCAACTTGGGCAGGAAGTATAAGGGCTTTTCTGGGACAAATAAATCACGTAATAATAAAACAAAAATGCCCAAAACTTTTGATAACTGTTTAGGGAAGTCCTTACCGTTCATTATTATTATTTTAAAGCCATTGTGATCCTCACCTGTGCTTTCAAGATAAGATTTAGTTTGAGTGTGAAAATAGCAACACCAAAATAATAGGTGGCAAGTCTGGAGAAATGGGAAATAAAACACCAACTGCCTAATTTGAATTGACTGTGAAAGTGCATGAGAGCCCTGCTCCCCCCCCCCCTTTTTTTTAAAAAAAATAAATAAATAAAGGAGAGGGCAAAGGATTGGGAAGGGTTTAATCTTTCCTTATATTTTTCCAGTTTATTTTTATTTTCAAAGGCATTGTACATGTGTATTGTTTTCTGACCATGGGTCCTTCATTTTTCTATCACTGAAAAATACCATTCCCTTAGAAGCAGTGTTCTTCAATGTGCCTGTTTTTCTTCTTGATTGTTTTCTTTGAAACTAAGAATTATTTTAATGCATTAAGTGTCTGCTCAATTCCTTCCCTCTCAACTTAGTCGCAATGGCTGTGGGACATCAATGGAACACCAAAGAAAGCTTAATTAAACTTCTGTCCTTTGCACAGCTTTCAAAAATGCTATGGATGTGAAGGTCATTTTTGTTTTCTTTTTCAAGACAGAACAGAAACTTGTCATTGTCAGACATTTCAAGTTTCCAGCCAGTTATTCTTAATAACATTTGAGGCGTCTCCATCACCAGGCAAGATACAGATAGTAGATATAACAGAAATCTAGGAAAGACCTTTCCCGTGATTTTAAAATTTAACAATAAAGCCCGTTCTTCAGATTAATCTAATTTAATCCCACAATTGTAAATGGGCGTAACACAGTGACTGGTTTGGTAAAACAGTAGCAGGTTGCAACTATTATAATAGTAGCAACTATTCCTCACCCGAAATATACTGACTAGATTCAAATGTTCATGTAGCATATTCAGTCATAAGCAAAAATTCATATTTTAGCTTAATGTAGTCCAATTTCTGCCTGGGGAGAGACTGCATAAAAACAATGAATACCATTGAAACTTATCCAAGGTAATGAAAAGTTAGAATCGCTGACGCAGCACTATAAAATTAAAACACTAAAATATATTGAAATATATTGAAATTTCTTAATATTAAAATATAGACCGATGATGCTCAACCTCAACAGCTTTTAAGAAGTGTGGACTTCAACTCCCAGAATTCCCTGCACAATTCAACTTCACAACGAAGCCCTCGGGCGTCACGCTCCCTATTTTTAAGTCGTCAGCCTTCTTGGAACCAATAGGAAGGGACGGCACGCGGCGCATTCGTGTGACGCCACAAGAAAGCGAAGAGCTCGCGCACTCATTGGGAAATCCGGTCCGGAGGGGAGATTCTAAACGGGGAGGCGGCAGGAGAGTCCATCTAGGCAGGTGGAGGGGGGGGGCAGAATCTACCATGAAGTGAGAAGTGGACAATGGCCCAGCAGCATAAACGGTGAGGATGGGCTTTGCAGCCGTTATATATTTTGACTAAACTGGCATTTTATTGTTTTTCACTATTCTCCCCCCCTCCCATCTTTATTTAGGTATTTTTAAAAGCCCATCGGGCTAAAAGGAAAGGAAGACCCAGTCACTTCTGCTCCAGGGCATAGAAGATGGAGGGTTTGGGATGTTA